TAATATATATATTTATAAGTATTTTAAATATTCAACATCAATAAAAAATATATTCTAAAAAAATTTCTCATTTAAAATTTAAAGACCTAGTTATAAAATTCTTTACTGTTGATATTTTTATATAAAGAAATAATAATAATAATAGAAAAAAAACAAGAAATAGTTTTAAAAAATTTGCAATTATTCAAATAGAATAAAAACATATAATCACAGTTCTTGTATATTGAAATATGTTTGGAATAATAAGTAAGATAATATTATTTATTTGGGTAAAAATCCGCATTCCTCTGTTTTCTCTTCTATTCGTGAAATGAATAAAAATGTTCTTAAAAGTCGAAAGCTGAATACTAATTTATTCAGAAAAATGCCAAGAATGCCATTGGACCGTATCATTGTTATTCCTAAATTTCTATTTACTACCATTAATAGCAACAACTATTTTATTTTCGAAGGAATGTTTTTGCTTTAATCTACCGCCTGTAAAAAAGAATTTCAGCAATTTTAATCGAAAGTAATAATAAAAAAAAGAAGAAGAAAAATAAGAACAAATATTACATATAATAAAAGAAATTAAATAATTCAATAGAACAAATAAATAGATTAATAAAGAGACAAAGCTTATATGTTATTCTCTAGTAGCATCAGTATAATTAAGTATAGGACAATATACACGTAAGAAATCGAATGATTATAAACTGTATACAGTTAAAATGATTATAATGTATAGTAATTCTATTGCAAAAAATAGAAACTTAAAGGATTATTGTAGTAGAAACTGTAAAGAAGTGAAAAAATAGTAACTGAAAATAACTGAAGCATTAGTAATTGGAAAGAACTGTATCATTAGAAACTATATTGAACCGCATTGTGAACTGTAAAGAATTTCAAAAATTAGGAATTGTAAAGAATTGGAGCTTGAAAAAACTAGTAAAGTTAAGCAATAAGAAATTGTAAAGCCAATCTATAAGAAATTACATATAAGCTGATTAGAAAAAAAAAATTGTAAAAGTATTATATGAAGAAAATTATGTTTTGGGTTAATATTATTTTTTTTTTTAAGGAAGAAATGAATTATTAATTTAAAATGATTAAAATAAAATAACAATTTTAGGAACTATTTAAAAACAGTTATATTAAAACGATATATTTTTTTATTATATTGTTTAGCGTAAGACACCTTGATAAAATAATTAAAAATTTTTAGTATTTTTAAAAATAAAAATTATATAATTTTTAAATTGTTAATGAAAATTCCAAGAATTTTATTTTAATTAAAATATTTAAGTAAGAATAAATATTTTGTTTATTAAATATTTTAATTTAGTACATTAGTTTACTTCCTAAGAAACATTTAATAGTATTATTTTTATTCTTATACAGTTATTTCACACAACAAACAACTATTTACATATATTACACAAGCTAAGATTAAGTAAAATTTAATACATAAAGCAACAATAAATTGCCTATATAAAATATATCCAAAATAAATTAATACTTTTTATTATTCAATATTTACAGATTCCTCCAGGTTACCCGTAAACCACCGTCAGAGGATACTACAAGATGGTAACCTTGTTGTAGATAACGTGCAAAGAGAAGATGAAGGATCATACAAATGTACTGCTATAGATAATAAAGGACGTGAACACGTTCAAATTATCGTGCTTAGAGTTATAGGTAAAATTTAAACTTTTTTTCTTTAATCAAAGAAATAGAAAAAGAACTGATCTAATATTTAAAAAAATCGCTGTCATTTCAGCTGCTCCTACTGTTTCTTTATCCGACTTTCAACCTGATATTCAGATAGGTATGAAAATGAAAGTACTTTGTTCTGTTCTACAAGGGGATCCTCCCTTTCGTTTTACTTGGATTAAAGACGGTATACCAGTGTCAACTGATCTAGATTTAAGCATACAATATTTTGGTGATTGGAGTATGTTGTCATCTGATAATGTACAGTTGAAGCACGCCGGAAATTATAGTTGTGTTGTTAGTAACGAAGCAGCTACTACCGGACAAAGCTCGGTTTTACGCGTTAATGGTAGTATATTAATTTAAATTATTAATAAATATTTTATAATTTAATATCGATTTACTAAACACTTAGATAAATTATTATTAAATTTTATAGCTCCTCCAATATGGATTTTAGAACCTAAAGATGCTGAAGTCGTACATGGTAAATCTGTGAGAATAGATTGTAGTACAACGGGTTCTCCTGTTCCTTCTATATCGTGGAAACGTGCTACCGGTATAATTTTTTATACAATATTCGTGTATAATTTTAAGAGAATGTGAATATATATTTAATTTTTTCCATAGATTCAGAACCTGGAGATTTCACTCCTGTTTATAATAGTCATAAGTATACGTTATACGCTAATGGATCATTACTGATTCAAAGTGCTGATAAATCGGAAGAAGGTTATTATTTATGCGAATCGAGTAATGGATTTGGTGACGGATTAAGAAAATTATTATTTATCAAAGTCCATGGTAATTTTAAAACTTACATCAAGATTTTTCTAAAAGCGATTTTAAATATTTATCATTTTATTCTATTATATTTTTATCCCGAAGTAATTCCGGACATTACAAAGCATCAGTGATTAATTTTATTTTTATTTACTTTACCTAATTATTAAGTGTATTACAATAATGATTAAAATAATTAAAAAAGTGTTTTATATATGAATTTTTAGAGCCTCCACAATTCGAGATTAAATTTAAATCTCTAGCATCAAAAAAAGGAAACACAGCAAATTTATTTTGTCAGGCCTTTGGAGATTTTCCTATAAAAATAAAATGGTGGAGGAACAACAAACAGCTAGAGAATGATACTCGAATCAGGTCAGTTTCTCATTAATATATATATAAATATATATATATATATATATATTTCTTGTATATTTCATTTCTTGAAGTAATATTTCTGTGTTATGCTACAGATTTTCTTCCAAATAACACTTCAGAATTGTCGTACATGTTAGAGATAAACATAGAAATTTCGAATCAGCAAGATACAGAAAAGAATGGAATTGTGTCAGATATGAGTTATCGAAGTCACAAAAATGGTCCAAGAACTGACGTAAAACTAAATAAAAATTGATTTCTTCCTGGTGAGAATCAATTTTTACTTTGGTACCAAACAGTAGAGAGAGAAGCAACCCGACTTTTACAGTTTTCATTTTCAATACTTTCGACCACAATAAAACGAAAATAATAACGATGATAAGTTTAAAAACCTATAGAATAAAAGAATTGAAAAGAAAAAAAAAGGAATAAAAATAAAAAAGAATTTCTATTTACATCTGCCAAGTGAATCGAATCGAAATTATCTTAAAGGAATGTGTCAGATCTGTTCCAATTTACTTCAAATAAAGATGAATCCAATTGAATTGAAGTAGTAAATAACGCATTCTGAATGATCCAGTTTAGCCAATTTGGCAATTAAAATCGTTTCAAGATAAGCAAATTGAATTTCATTATAGCGTCAATCATGATTTTCGTTTTGGACCGAAAACTTGTCTGTTCTATTTACAATAAAAGTTTTGAAAATTTTTAGTCCCCATCAGGTTTTGACATTTCTGATCGATAGAAACAACGAAAGGGGTGAATAGTTGATAGAAAACTCAGTTTTAGTATGTCCTAATCAATCACAGTAAATTCCGTCAACTGTCAATAACAGCTTATGTCAGTAATTGTTTGTTCACTTCCTAAACAGTATCGTTCCTTATGAAATTAAGGCATTAAGTATTCATGTTATTATCGTCTCTGACGTTTGTAGATGATCTAATTTTAGTGTATAATACATAAATTCGCTTTACACTATACAGAGAGAGTTTGGTTATGAATGTTATGAATACAATTCACTACACTAGTCAACTTTTACAATATAATTGCAACATACACTTGAGTTTCTATAGAGTGTAGATAGTTATGAAAAATAAATCCTATTTTATTTAACAGAATAGAACATTTTGAAGACGAAACACAGAAAACGGTCGATACTAAATTAACCATTATCAAAACACAATCTGATGATTCTGGTGTTTACATGTGTAGAGCTGTTAACTCTTATGGAAAAGACGAAACTAGTGTAGAGTTACTAGTACAAGGTAAGTATCACTGAATTACATTATATAATTAAACATACTTTATTAATGTTTTCTCTAATGTTTTCAATAAATATACAAATATAAATGAAAATATGCTTTATATACTTTCACACTCACTCGATTTTCTTGAAAAATTTTCCTGTAAATTTAATAGAAATAATATTAATCGATTTTTTTCGAGATTTATTCTTGAGCGACGAAAAGAAGAATTTGATTAGGTATGATGAGTGCAAGAGAAGGAGCATAAATAGATTAAAGCAGTACATACATATTTAATAATAAAATAATTTAAAAAAGTAAAAAAAACAATTTTTGCCCCTATATACAAATAAATGTGATTTCAACAACCATGACAACTATATTAGTTTCATGGCAGAGCCTCCAGGATCTCCATTAAACCTTGGAGTTGTCGACGTTACTGGAAGATCCATAACAATATCATGGAACGAACCATATCGTGGGAATAGTGCAATAACCAGATATTTAATCCAATATAAAAAAGCAGGTTAGTATTTAATAAATAATTTTTTTTAATATTTTTATTTTCTTATTAAACTATAAACTCTTTTCTTTTTTTTATTTTGAAAAGATGCTTCTTCGTTTGAACAAAATATTACTGTGCCCAGTATTCAGACCATGGCTACAATAACCAATCTAAAGCCATCAACAATGTATAAAGTCAGGCTAATGGCAGAAAATTCTGTTGGTCCTGGACATTTTACTACTTGGTTAAATGCAACTACTGATGAAGAAGGTAACATCTATTATAGATTTTTTTCAAATTTTACAGCAACCAATCATCGAAGACAATTAAGTAACGTAACCATACTATTTATTACGTCAGATATAAAAAGTAAATAAACGTAATAAATAATTCATTTATTAATGAATGTGGTAAAAATGACGAATAATATATTATTTTATTACATTTATATCTTATTAAAAACACACACACATTTAGTTATTTTTGTATGACAATTGGTTGTATCTTCCTTTCGTTTATGACGTCAAACTTAATTATTTTATGAAATATTTTTTTCATCGTCCTCTTTATTATTACTTTTCTTTTAATTTCAATATTTTATTTATTTATTTTAATGAAAAATTTCTTTCATATTCTAGATTCACTATTCCATTTACTATTGTAATGTTAATAAAATAAAAATACGATAATCCAAGTACTGTATATAATTAAAAATTTTAAATTCTATTATTATTATTATTAAACTCTTTAGCACCGGGTGGACCAGAAGAGAATGTAACTGCTAGAGCAACAGGACCCAATTCTATTAAAGTTTCTTGGAAGGTATGTATATTAAATATCCTTATTTATTCTTTAATAAATTTTTAAAAAAATTAATAATAAAATTATATAATTTTTCAGTCTCCGAAGAAAGAAATGTGGAACGGTGTATTATGTAGGATATTATGTAGTTATTATGTAACGGTGTATCAGGATATTATGTAGGATATAAAGAAACATCTTCGTCTGATACATATCAATATAAACTTGTAAAAACAGCGAATGCGGATCGTTTACAAGAAGTTCATTTGACTAATTTAAAAAGATCTACAACATATAATGTTATAGTTCAAGCATTTAATACTAAAGGAACTGGACCTCCCACAGACGAAGTTACTGTAAAAACTCTAGACGATGGTAAGATTATTAAAGTATAAACCGTTTATATTCTCTTTCATCTCTAAAGATAACGATAATATTTGGAAATTTTAAATAAATTATCCAAATAATAATATAACGAATTGATAAAATGGATCATAAATTAAAACAAACTAGTTTAAATTAGCATTAAAGTCATTTAAGTTATCGATTCGAGTAAATTTAAATGTTATCGATTTATCGTTGGTTCATTGAGGTTATCGATACTTTATTGTAAAAGGGTGGAAATAGATAAGAGTCAGAAATTGAACTATAAAACGACATGGTAAAGTTTAATTAAAGAGACACCAATGGATTTTGATACTTAACACAAGCCTTTAATGATCAAGTTCCAAAGAAAAGAATTGATAAAAAGAGAAAAATATATCGATTTTTTTCTAATATTTCTAATGTTTAATCTATTTGGAAATATTTTTTTATAAACAAAATTATTTAAAAGAAAGAAGAAGAACTGTTTGTGTGTGTATTTACTTTACTGAACAATTTCCATACAACGATGTTTAGTTGAATTCAGCTTTTCTTCATTTGTCAGTTGAAGATTCGATTTTGCTGTCAAAACGATAATATAACAGCGGGAGACAACTCGATTATGACAAAGAATGTCAGCTAGTTTCAATAAGGTTTAAACTTTACGAAATTTGCAAATTTTTAAATAAAAAAAAAAGAAAAAAAATTAGACAAAGCGAAAAAAAATTATTAACTTTATTTTTTTTGCATCTATTTTAGATTTTTTGCACGATGCACTTGTCGCTTTATTGTATTCTTCTAACATTGTTTCGTGTTTTAAACATCATAAACTATTTCATTATATAAAGTTAAAATGTTCACAAAAATAAAATAGGGTTAATCTCTTTTATATTTACTGCATTTTAAATCCATTCATGAGTACAATTTCGATAATAATTTACAAATTAATTAAAATATATAGATTTATTTTTTTAAAATAACAATTTGTCTTTGTTATTTAACTTATATATATATATTTTAGCATTAAAAAATACATTCAAACCCCCCTTTTAAACAATGGCCATTTTTATGTTTCCATAAGTTGTCTTTGTTTACAGGTTTAACTATAGATTAAAATTAATTTATTTTATAGAATAAAACGTTAACAAAAGAAAAAATAAAATAATTTTAATATTTATCATGTTTATTATTAATTTAATAAAATATTAAATAATCTATCATATATTTTACGGTCAAAAAACTATTCATTGTTATTAAAAATAGTGTTTTAATGTTAACTTTTACAGACATTTTACATAAATAATATTTTATTAAATTTATAATTTAGATAAAAAATAAAAAAAATTGATTTATACTTTAAAATTTTATATTAATTTTTTCATATTTCTGTATGAAAAATTCAATATTTTAAAAGTATGATAACGATTTACTTTATTTTGGATGCAGTTTCACCGAGTGCTCCTTCTCTGAAATTACTTTCGTCTACAAAATCGTCAATAACTCTAGGATGGTCACAGGAAACTACATTTGGAAATTCCGTCAGAGGTATTTATATATATATACCAACTTACCTAGAATAATGTACACAAAGTAGTATCTTTCACCTGCATTTTTCAAATTGATCTAAAGAAAAGACAAGTAGTTGTTTTTCCAGAATTTTTTTACAAACTTAAAGAATCTTCAAACTTTTTTTCTCTGTTGTTAAATCCTTCCCTTTTTGTGGCTTTCTGCGACACTTATATCCAATTCAAATTGGAATTAATTGCCTTAGTTCTCATACCTTTAAGTTACGGTTTCGTGTTTCCATAGCTTATTTGAATCCTAATTTCGTTTATAATAAATTTATTTTTTTAGTAATTTTTAATTGGTATTAGAAATTATAAATATTCTACTGATTAAATAATTATTCTTACAAATTATAATTTATCTATAACGTTTTAGTTAGTTCATTCTTTAATACCTTCAACGTATTGCTTGAAGCTATGGATGCTGCTTTACCACTTTGCTCCTATTCTTCTAAACTATAAAATTGCTTATAAATAGAGAATGTTACCTTTGGGAACAATTTTACAACCTAACATAAACATTCCATTCAAAATTTACCGGAAATTTAGCTTCAGGTTAAACTCCAACTTTGTTAGATTTTTTTTCTTTTACTTAATCAAGATATTCCATTCTTTAAACTGTTTTAGACTATATGATTATTCTTTTTTATACAATAATATATACCAAAATATAATAAAAATGATAAATATAACTTATTACGAAGTTTATAAATTAGATTTTGACGATAAAAAAATGAACAAAAACATTCAGTATGGATTTTATTCAAATCACTTTCCAAATATTTGAAAGAATATTCTAACTTAAATTTTCGTAATGCAAGAATTTAATGTTAAAAAAAAAAAAAATCTTACGTGAATTTGTCTAGAGTAAATTCGTTTCTTTGCATAATTTTCGAATAATTTGCAACTGTTTATTGAATATTTGAAGTTAAACAAAATTTTAAACACGTTTTAAGAGTAGAAAAGAAAATCTCTATTGTTATTCCTAAGAAGGAACGAAATAAAAAGTGTTAAAATCTCGTATAATTTATACTTAAATCAAGAATAAACATTAAAATTACTAGGTTTTAATTCTTCTTTAAACGAAAGAACAAAAAAATTCTTATAGTGAGCTCGACACAAAATTAAAGATTTACATTAATAATTCATCTAAGTTATATAGCCACGTTTTAAGAATTTTCATCCCCCCTTTAATAATTTCCATTCAATATTGTGTTAGATTAAAGCTTTTTCATTCAGTTGTCTCACATCATAACTTTTAAAAAGATCATAAATTTTATTCCAGGCGTTCTTAATTATTTGGCGAAGTTAAAATTTCATTAACGCTCAGTATATTAATAAAAGAGGCAAGTGACTTAATAATCTTTACTGTGGAAGTAATACAATTATGTTTACGATGTCAGATATATTGTGTGCATTTTATCAATAACTTACCCCCAACAATATATTCATTTCTAATTTCTGAAAGAAACTATTAATATCGGCAAAGAACTTAAGAGAAATGGAATTTTTTTTAATAATATTCTTAATTATCTTTAGTGTTTCTGGACCAGAAAAAAAATTTCTGTTCGTAAGCAGTGATGTGAAGCATTTCACAAGTTATAAATATAATTTTTCTACGTAGAATAACGTAGAATTTCTTAAATATTTGTAGAATATTTGCTATATCATAAAAAGGATTTAGAACCGTGGATCCAGACTCCAATTTCTACTGACACACCAACCTACGTTGTCAAAAATTTAACGTGTGGTACAACTTACCAGTTCTACATTACCGCTCACAACAGTGTCGGTAAAAGTGAACCGAGTGAAATTCTTACAGCCAGAACTGAAGGTGCAGGTAATAAATTTAAAAATAACGAAATATTTAATAAAATATTTCTGTATGATTTAAAGAATTCTTTAAACTTTAAGCTCCTCTTTCTCCATCTAAAGAAAATTTCATATCTACGACAATGAATAAAGCTACTTTAAATATTTTAAGTTGGAAAAATGGCGGTTGTGATATTTTATATTTTACAATCAAAATAAGACAGAAGCATAGAAAGTCGTGGATTACTCTTACTAACAAACCTTTGTATACTCATAATCAATACATTGTGTCAAATCTGATGTTTTCAACCTGGTATGAATTACACGTGACAGCACACAATACGGCCGGATCTACAGAAGCACAGTACGAATTTAGAACGTGGAACGTCACAGAAGGTAAATACTATTTAAAAATCGATTTAAAATCGAAAAATTAATCTAAAAATTGATTTTTTTCTTCTTTACAGAACTTACAATTAGTGCAACACCCGAACCACCCCGTTTAAAAACATCGCCATTAGTTACTGATTTAGAAATTTTAATACCAATTGTCGTATCTAGTCTTGTGGTACTCATAGTAATTATAGTGGGGTTCATATTATGTTCGAAACAAACTCATTGTAACACCAAAAATAATGGTAAAGTTAAAAAGTTTTTATTTAAGACTTTGCTTTAATGATAAAAGTTATGTAAATTTTATTTATATAGCCGCAGTATTAAGACATAGCAGCAGTAAGTATACGAGAGAAGCAATAGTTAAACACGATCTCTTTAATAAACAACACGAATGAAAGTTGATGAGTTCGTTAAGATGCTGTAGAGAATATATTAACTGAAAGCTTACGAAAATAAATTTCCACGTCAAAAAATTTGATAAAATAAGACATAGAAATCGTTTAATAATACAAATTAAATCTGAAATTTATTTTAAAATAAGGAAAATTGATGAATCTGATCTCGAAATCTTTGGATGAAAATTAATGATATTTTAAAAGGAACAATCAATTGGAAGATTGTTAAACGTTGGGGAAAAAAGAGGCGAAAATCAGCTAGATACGAAAACACATGTTCGCTGTTTGTGTATATAATTGATTTTTTTTCTTCACTTTTATGTGATGAATCGGTGCTCTATCTTAACTATTACTATGATTTTTTTTCATTGCATTTGTAATATCGATGTAATAAAACTTTAGATACTTCAAAGTAAATATGTGGATTTGTTGTATTTGTTTTATGTTTACAGAGGCGAAACTTCTCGAAAATAACATAAAATATTCTTATATACTTTTATACTNAATTGAAAGGAAAATTGATGAATCTGATCTCGAAATCTTTGGATGAAAATTAATGATATTTTAAAAGGAACAATCAATTGGAAGATTGTTAAACGTTGGGGGGAAAAAAAGAGGCAAAAATCAGCTAGATACGAAAACACATGTTCGCTGTTTGTGTATATAATTGTTTTGTTTTTTTCTTCACTTTTATGTGATGAATCGGTGCTCTATCTTAACCATTGCTATGATTTTTTTTCATTGCATTTGTAATACCGATGTAATAAAACTTTAGATACTTCAAAGTAAATGTGTGTGGATTTGTTGTATTTGTTTTATGTTTACAGAGGCGAAACTGATAGAGAATTACTTCTCTTCTTCTTCCTCAACTGATACGGAATTACTTTTATTGTTTTTGGATAGGGAGGGGGAGAAAAACAATATAAATTGCTTTCTGTTTTCCTAAAAGTATAATAAAAAAAAAGGCGATCTATAATATAAAACATCACGAAAAATAACATAAAATATTCTAATATACGTTTATACTATAAAGAAAATCCTGTATAAGAGACAAAGGATTTTTATATTGTAAAAGAGGTTTTAAATTCGAAAAAAAAAAATACTTTGTATTTCATTTCTTTTTTTTTTTAAAGAAAGCAATTACAATTTATCCAAGCGTAGGAAAACCTTTTCTGCCCAAACTAGTTTTAGGAACCACGAAATATATAACAATTTGGATTTAAAATTCCTAGCTTTACGATCCACCTTTGCACATAAACTTGCTTGGCTGAATAGTATAAAGTGTTTGGCCTCAAGGTATCGACATGGAACAGATAAAACTGTTACCTGGATTTTTGCTTGTCCTGAAGGGCTTTTTTTTTCCTCCCCCTTACCTTTGCTTGGGTGATCACTAACACTCTTCATCCTCTCTCTTACGTAACCATGGTAACCAGGTGACAGCTACCGAAAAAGATGCAGCAACCACGACAACAATGTAATTTCTCTATAGGAAAGTTGATGTATTTTTTTTAGTCTCTTGAAACAGAAGCTTTATGTGAGAATCTTTAAACAATAATTCTTTCTTTGTGTATGTTATTTGATAGACAGAGAAAGTTTACAGAACTCTATTTACTTTCTCCAAAAAACAAACATGAAGATAGATCAAGAAAAATATAAAAAAAAAGGATTCCTTCCAAATTTTCAGTCTACGACATGTATTTTTTTTAATAAAAAACATAAAAAAAGTATTTTATTACTGATAAAATATATATATTTATAATTTATATAATTTATTGCCTGTAATTTTGTTATAAAACTTAGAAAATAAATGCCATAATTCCAACGATTTCACACGATTTTATGTGTTAAAAAAAATATAAAAATAAATTTCTTGTAATCACATTAAAACGTGAAAACATCATTTAAGTTTAATTTTCTAAAGCTTCTTAATGGTATGAAACTGCAAATTTTCGAATGTTTTTCTTAGATATAAAGATTATTTTTTTAACGTTTAAAAGATTAAAAATATAAACAATTTACATAATATTTTTTTAAGCTTTAAAAGATATCAAAATCGATTCAAAAAATACTTTAAAAATTCTATAAAATAATATAGTATTATTAGAAAAAAAAATTTATTATTTTTTTTTTGGTGGTGGTAATTATTAAAAATTGTTTAATTTAAAATTTTTACTTTAAGTTTGAAAGAAAAAGGAATCTACTGACAACTTTAATTAAAGTGTGTTGCGGTTGTTTTATGTTTGTGGTTGATTTTTTTAAAAATGTTGTTCTCTGTCTTTAATGAAGAAAAATTCTTTCTGTTCTAGTAGAAAGACACGAAAGATAAATTAAGTTTCTAGAAACCAGACAAACAGCCTGCTTCCTACAAAATAAGATTAACTAAAAACTTCAAGGGAGGGGAAAAAAACACCCTTACAAAAGCTCAAAAAAAAATAAAATAAAATAAAATAAAGAAGAATTTTAAATAATGTACGATTCAAAACTGCAACACCATTTGAAGTAGTAGTTTTTTTTTATTATATTTTTTTTAAACTAGTCTTTTCCCTTCTCTCCTTTAACCTGTACAGATAACGTTTAGCTGTCTAATGATGTTTAAGAAAGGTTTAGAAGAACAGTTTTGTCCCAGGTTCATTCAAACGTTTATAAAAGGTGCAACTCGTCTCAGTAGGGGTTACGACCTCACCTTCTTAGGTAACCCTCCTGTGTCCTATAAATCTTTCTTGACAGTTTCCTTGCAACTTTATTCTCAACAGCATTTCCCACTGGTTGAAGTAATCATTCATTTTTGAACTTTAAAAGAGAGAAGGGAGGGGGGGAAAACGTAAAAATGTACATGCTAATATCTTAATTAAATGAATTTTAAACTTAATAGTTTATATGTATATGTATATATAATGAACAAGGCTAATTAAAACAGGATTGTGTTAATCCTCTTTACAACTGAAAGCTAAATTCTCTTTAATCTCTTCATTTATAAAGTTACTTTATATTAAAACTTTACATTTTTTTTTTTCTATTTAAAGATGATTAATCTTAAAAGTCTTTACGGTTTTAAAACTTACAAACCGTAAATATTCGAGACACAATCAATAAAAGACAATTCTTATCATCTTCTCTTTTATCTCTTGAAAATTATGAAGTTAAGCTTATCATAATGGTCAGATAACTCTCCAGGAATGAACAGTCTTATGACTATTTCTATGTCGTAACAATTTTATAATAAGAATTTATGTGTGGCTTCCATTAATTGATTCTAATTTAGTAAGATAGATTAGAATCTAAGCGAGGAAGCATTCATGTGAATATGCTGTGGCTATAATTATAAACAGCGACTCGAAAAGATAATATTAAAATGTAATTCGTGTTAATCTTGAAATGAAAAGTGAATTTTCAAGTGATAAAATCAGCAAGGAGGAGGAAGAGGAGGGAGAGAAGAAGGGAGAATAAACTGTAAAAGATGAGGAAGAGGAAGAGGAGGGAGAGAAGAAGGGAGAGATGTAATAAAACTTTAGATACTTCAAAGTAAATGTGTGTGGATTTGTTGTATTTGTTTTATGTTTACAGAGGCGAAACTGATAGAGAATTACTTCTCTTCTTCTTCCTCAACTGATACGGAATTACTTTTATTGTTTTTGGATAGGGAGGGGGAGAAAAACAATATAAATTGCTTTCTGTTTTCCTAAAAGTATAATAAAAAAAAAGGCGATCTATAATATAAAACATCACGAAAAATAACATAAAATATTCTAATATACGTTTATACTATAAAGAAAATCCTGTATAAGAGACAAAGGATTTTTATATTGTAAAAGAGGTTTTAAATTCGAAAAAAAAATACTTTGTATTTCATTTCTTTTTTTTTTTAAAGAAAGCAATTACAATTTATTCAAGCATAGGAAAACCTTTTCTGCCTAAACTAGTTTTAGGAACCACGAAATATATAACAATTTGGATTTAAAATTCCTAGCTTTACGATCCACCTTTGCACATAAACTTGCTTGGCTGAATAGTATAAAGTGTTTGGCCTCAAGGTATCGACATGGAACAGATAAAACTGTTACCTGGATCCTTGCTTGTCCTGAAGGGCTTTTTTTTTCTTACNTTTTCTTTTACTTGATCAAGATATTCCATTCTTTAAACTGTTTTAGACTATATGATTATTCTTTTTTATAGAATAATCTATACCAAAATATAATAAAAATGATAAATATAACTTATTACGAGGTTTATAAATTAAATTTTGACGATAAAAAGAAAAAAAAATGAATAAAAACATTCAGTATGGATTTTATTCAAATCACTTTCCAAATATTTGAAAGCTTAAATATTTCTATACAGGCTTGTATATATAAAAAAGGGGACGAGCTTATATAACAATTACTATCGAAAAGAATAAAATTGAGAAGTATTCTCGAAAATAACACAAAGGAGATCAAAGTAATTCTTTAATTTAATGAAACACAATGAAGCCAAAACTTTCTCATTTTTCCTCTACGCTGGAGGATTGCCAAATTGAATAAAAGATTTAAATATTGAACATTGAAGAAAAAATATCCATTATTCACTCTTTCGAAACAGATAATACTTGAAAATTAGTAAATTAAGTAAAAAAAAAGTATATATTTATCAGAAACCCAGTATCTTCTTTGTACTGTTTTACAAATTTAATAATAGGTTTTTCCAATCTAATGTTGTTCAATATTCTGTAAACAAAAAAAAAGGAATTCACTTNAAAGAAAGATCGTTTCATATTGTAACTTGGCATTTTCTTTAATCAAAATGGCCGTGATTAGGAAGAAATTCGTAAAAAACGAGTCATAAAAAAGTCATAATACTCTCCATTAAGCGTCAATTTCGTACTATTACTCTATAAAAATATATTAAAAATTTCTACAACTTTTAAGATCATTCACGTGATAATCTTTCTTTTATGTTTAATCCTTCTCTACACATAAAGATACGTTTTCGAAGCTTTTTATTTATTTCAAACTGCACTCAAAGCTTGATTTACTATTATAAAAATGTACGCTTATCTCTTATTTAATCGGATCATCCAACTATATATATATATATATATATATATAACCTTATACTTTGATTTTTATTCTAAACTTTAAGCTTAATCTACTCAATTTAATAGGGATATTTATGTGAGATTTCCTTCCCTTCATTCTTTTATTTTATTCTTTTAATGCTTAACGATTCTTCCCTGTATAAAAACAACTTTCTGCCATTTCTCTTTCTTAAAAATGCTTCTTGTTAGTAGTAAAAAAAAAAAAGTCTCATAGTGCATTGCAGAGTACCAATTAGAGAGTGCATTACGTACACACTGTACAGAATGAAATCCATTAAAAAATGCATAGGGTTTTAGGGGGAGAGAAAAAAAAAAGGTAATAAAATGCACAAAATTGTTACAAATTAAATGAGAGAAAGGAGAGAAAGTAAATAAATACTTTAATAATATAATTTAAAAATGATAATTTAATACAATTGCTTTAAAATAAATTTGATTATTGCATTAATAGAGTTTTGCTAAAGTAAACAAATTAACGAGTAACTAAAGATTTCGAGCTTATAATTGAATTTTTGAACAATTCAAGTAAAATTACTCTTATCCATTGCTTCCATTTTGTTCAACTCTGGTCAATTCTATAAAATAATTTTATTTTATTTATTTTTAAACTTATAGAAACACTCAACGAAAAGTTCTAATGGAAATAAGAAATTTTATCCTTTATAAAAAAAATATAATAATAATAATAATAAAAATTTGTTATAGAAAAAACAAGCATTCAATTTTATAAATAATATAACTAAAAATACATATAATAATAAATATTTTATATGTTTATTCTATCGAAAAATAAACATAAATAATAAATTTATGTTTATAAAATATTCAACATTTTTTCAATTAATTTTATAAATATTTTTTTTATTTTAAAAAAAATAATAATACAGTAATAAAAGGTTTTAGAATTTAATTTAATTAATCAAAACTAGATGGCAGCACTTCTCGTAAATAAATAACTACTAACCACGACGATGGCGACATCTCGTGATAATAAATTTAAACGAATTTCTTAAATTTAATTAAAATAAATAGTTTATTTTTTTAAGAAAAATATCACGAAATATAATAAACGTAATTCATAAATTTTTAAATTTTAATTATATAAATTTTTTCTTTTATTTTTTAAACGAAAATAG